CTCATGCCTGTAATCCCAGCACTATGGGAGGCTGATGCCGGTGGATCACCTAAGATTGGGAGTTGGAGACCAGCCTGACCAACATGGAGAAACCCCATCTCTACTAAAAATACAAAATTAGCTGGTCGTGGTGGCGCATGCCTGTAATCCCAGCTACTGGGGAGGCTGAGGCAGGAGAATCACTTGAACCCGGGAGGTGGAGGTTGTGGTGAGCCAAGATTGCGCCATTGCACTCCAGCCTGCTCAACGAGAGTGAAATTCCATCTCAAAAAAAAAACAACCGGTTGGTCCTGAGAAACCATCATATGAGTACGTAGGGCCTGGGTCCTGGAGGAACGTGACTTGCCGAAGTCATTCAGTGGGTTGGCCTCACTGTCTGGGGCTACATCTCCTGGAGCAAGGGCAACAGCAGGAGCAGCCCAGCTTGCTGCTCTGGGGCCGAGTCTGCAAAGCTACAGGTGTCTTACTTTCTGCATTCTAAAAATTGTGAGCAAATAGCTGTAAGTCAAATCTTATCCCCAGGACCACCCTGCATGGCTCTGGGCTTGAGCACAGTCCTTGGTTGTTTTGATAGGCAGGATGGTGAATTATTACAGTCACAGCCTGGGCAACCTCACCGCCTGAAATTAGACCTGGACTCTGCCACTCTCGGGCTGTGAGACTTTGGGTGCATTAATTAAGCAGTGTGTGCCTCAGTTTTCTCATCTATAAAATGGGGATGATAAAGTACTTCTATATGTTATTGTGAGAATTAAACATATATACGTTTAATTTAATTCTCATATGAAAGTTATGTTTTTTATAAACATATATATATATAAAACTTAGAGCAGTGGTTGGCATGTATTTACTGTTGTAAAAATGTTTCATTTTTTACCCCAGATATTCTGCCCCGATTCTGATGCATGGCCAGCTTTTTCCCATGGTACCCCTGGTCTTTCCTCCAGGGTGAAAGGCTGGGAAGAGGCAGATATTCCTCGGGCTCGTAAGCCATTGGAGTGTCCGCACACTGTCTAAGAAAGTATTAGTTTGGGAGGTTGGAGGCCCCACCGTCCTGGGCCAGGGAGTCTGGGACCTTGAGGAGAGGCTGAGCTTCGGCACCATCTTCCCCTTCTTCCTACTTTTTCATGGTGGTTCCTAGCACAGTCTTTACAGCCAGAAAGACCCAGGCTTAAATCTTGGCTCTGAGGTTTACAGGCCACGACCTTGGCGAGTCATAGCCTCGTGTATGGGTCTGACAGTGCCTTGATGTGGTTGTTTAGAGAAGTAACATGAGCACGTGTGCTTGCTGTGAGTGCTTCCTAGTGGTGGCGGTCACGTGGTTGTTAGCCTGCCATCTCCGTCTCACTTTGGGTCTTGCCACTCCCCTCTCCCTCCCAGTGGGTGAGGCTTTCCTTCCTTCTCCTTGACTTCGAGGCTTGGAAGCTCCAGAGGACTTGGAGGCTTTGGATCTGGCCCACCCAGACCCAAACTTCAGAAAGAAAGGCTTTTAGAAGACAAGATCGGGGGCTGGTCTCTGGTGGCTTGTTTCTTGCGGCCTCACTCCTTCTCTCTGCCTTGTCAGTGCTCTGGATTTCTGGGCAACTCTTTTGTCCCTTAGCCCTGGCCAGACACCCCTCTTTACCCCCGGCTCTGCCCCATTCCAGGGGCAAGTGGCAAAGCATTTACCTTAGTCACAGCTCAGATTTGACAAGCATGAACTGAGCAGATTGTGTGCCTTACCACGTGAGTCAGTTCATTTATAATCAGCATTTAATTAGCATGTACTTTGTGACCAGCACTGTAGGAAGCACTTTATACACATGTTCTTGTTTAATCATCCAATAGCCTCTAGAAGTGGTTATTATTACTAATTTTAAGATTTAAAAAAAATTTTTGTGGCCACTGGGTGAGTCCACCGGATATGATTATGCTTTTATCTTACAGAGAAGGAAAATGAGACCCAGAAAGGTTGGGTGATGCTTGCGCCACATGGAGGAGAACCTTGGAGCTGCAGGGAGGGAGAATTGAGCTAAATCTTACAAAACACTTGGCATAGTGCCCAGCACACAGAAGGTGCTCAACAAAGGGGCTAAGGCCAGTGATCCCGGGTACCCTATGGGACCCTCAGCCTGACTGACTCCTCTTCCTGCCCTCTCTCCCACCCTCGTACCAGCTCTTCCATTGGGCAGAGAAGGCATTAATTTGCACTTGGGCCAGACGCAGCAGGGGAATTTCAGCTACTGTGAGAGCTGAGTGGGGGGACACAGGGGATGGCCACTGGCTCCGCGGCTGAGGCTTTTCCTCGCTTGCTCCTGTGGCCACATTCAAGCAGATCTCCCGGGAGCCAGGCTGTGGTCACCCCTGATGATGTGGTTCTGGATCCCGCGCTATCTGGTTTCGTGAACTCTCACTAGTAGATCATTCATTCTGCCCAGGAACTTGAGCATAACCCCACTCCCTTGTTCCTCCCCTGCAAACTCTCTGGGCCTGCGGTGTAGGGGAAGTGGGCCAGAGGCTCAGGACATCATGTCTCCTTCTGCCACTGTCACAAGGCCTGGCCTTGACCAGGATGCCCACCTCGGTCGCACAGGAGATCTGTCTTCTCAGTCCAGCTCTGCTATGAACAACTCACCATCAGGCCCAAGGCAGGTACTGACCCTCTTTGAGCCTCAGTGTCCTCATGTGAAAAGTGGGACGAGAGGGCTGGCTGTTCCTTCAGCCCTGCCATGCAAGGAAGTAAAGAGATAATTCCCATCCCCCACCCTCTGCCTGCTCCATCAGGGGGTATGTAGCCAAGGACAGGGACAGAATAGGACACAGGGAATGAGGCAGGAAAGAGGGAGAGTCTCAGATGGCTCCTAACTCTCTGGCGTGAGCAACTGGTAAGTGTGGGTGTTGTTTGCTGAGATGAAAAAAGGGAGGGATGATAAGTTCAGTTTTGGATCCACTGCATTTGAGGTGCTCAAGGGATAGGCCTAGGCAGCAGGCGTAGAGTAGAGCTGGGATTTGAACCAGGGATGCCTGCTTCAAAGGCCATGCTGTCTCTGGCACACACTCTACACAGAAGGTGAGATGCACAAAGTCAGACGACTGAGGGCCAAGAAGGGGTCAGAGAGAGTTCATGTTCTGAGATGAAAGTAGTAGAGGTGGAGAAAAAAGGAGGCTTTATGACAGAGGGCTTCCTGGAGGAGGCCACTGGATCTCGTGTTTTGAAGGCACCAAGAGCAGGTGAATCCTGGAGGACAGTTGGAAGGATGCCTGAAAACTACACCCAACACGATTATGTGGCTTCCCCAGGGTCACACAGCTAATAAGTGGCAGGGCCACGGCTCCAGCCAGGCCCGCCTCCTTCCAGGGCCGCTGCTCTCAACCTCCTACGATACTGCTCTCAGGGACTGGGGCCTGGCAGCGGGAGAGGAACCACAGAGTCGAGCGGGAGACTTAGTCTCTCCCAGTTCAGGCCAACTTTCCCCAGCCCAGGCACGGTCAAGTTCCAGATAAACCAAGAGACAGCAGAGCTCTGACTCTCAAAGTGGCGGGACACAGAGCAAGGAGTGTTCCAGTGCTGGGACAGGTCTGACCCTACGTGAAGGGCCGCCCACGAACGCAGGCAGGCTGGGCAACTACTCAGTACCTGCGAGGCAGGTGTGCTCAGCCTCCCCTGCCTCGGAAACTGCTCTGCCGCCACGTCTGAGAGCCCATTCCCACACCCTGACTTCGGCATAGACATTGCCCGGCCGGGCTCCTCTCCAGGGGGCACATCTTTGGCCCCAGTCATCTCACGCAGAGGGGACTCAGTAGACACTTTTCTCCTAGGCAGAAGGGGTGGAGGCCCCTGCGAGGGACCCGTTCTCCCAGATTTGCAGAAGCTCAGTCTGCCGTGCAGGGGATGGGCTCACCTGCCAGAAGGGCAGGGAGCCGCTGGGCATGCCAGGCCACAGTGGTGGCAGCCACGGTGAATGCCAGCAGCTCACAACAAGCATGCAGTGTCAAATGGGGTGTGTTCCTCTCCCTGCAAATTAAAAATTAAAATTAATCAAACACTCAAATTGATTTCCTTCCCGTCTGTTTGCTCCGCTGTGCCAGTCAGATGCCCGCCTGCCCACCCGGCCCAGTACATCCCACCCTCATGCCAGGGCTGGACATCTCCGGCTGCTGCAGAGGTCTCTGTGAAGAGCCAGGGGAACCACAGGCACCTCATTCCGGCCTCGGGAAATGGCGTAAAGCTCAGTCCAGCCAGACTCATGACCCTGAGACCCAGTGCAGCGCTTGGAAAGGGGGGCAGGCAGGAAGTGACTATCACTCTGCTCCAAGGGTAACACCTACGCTGGGCCGGAAGGCAGAACTCTAGAGAATATTCCTGGGGCTATCACTAATTGACATCATGAGCCTGGGCAAGTCTTGTTGTTTCTCTGACTTGTTTCTCCGTCTGTGGAATGCAGAGAGGGGGCAGATGGAAGAGGTCCCTGCAAGTTCTAGCGCTGGCCTGTGGGTTGGGCCAGCCTTCCCTAGGGACTGACCTCTCCCACCTACCTCCAGTTAGCACAGGGCCCTGGTATCCTCCTTCCCCAGCTGGGCCCTGGCCTGCCAGTTATCAGCTGGGCAACCTTGGGCACAATGGACAGGTCACGTAACACCTGTGTGCCTCAGTTCCCTCATGGGTATATGGGGGTGATAACGCCAGTGAGGGCAGGCTGGCTCCCTAGGAAGCAGACTCTGAGGGAGATCCACGTGGAGGCAGGCAGGATGGGGCGGGGGGGCTGGGCCATGTTGCCTTCACAAGGCAGACTCTGTGAGGAGCTCTGGATCTGAGCTGTCTCTGCAGGGGTGTCCTGAGATGGGACAAGAGGGACAGCCTTTATCCCCTGCTTGAAGCAGTCATTGGATGCAGCTGTCCCTGGAAGAGTAAGGCCTTGGGAAGGAGGCTCTCTCTTCTGCCCCCTCGCCAAGGGGAGGGTACCCACCTGAGGCCTGTCAGCCATGGCATCCCAGCAGCAGGGGAGGAGGGCACTGCCCAGATGCCCCTTAAGACTGCAGCCCTCCTGCCCTTCCAGGGCAGCTGTGTCCAGCGACTGCTCGCAGTGTGTCTAGGTGAGGGTTCCCTGGAGCCAGGTTGTGAAGTCTGACAGGGGTCAGCTCACAGGAAACAGTTACTCTGCTCAAAAGGCCTGGGGGTCCCCTCTGGCCCCTCCCTGCTCACCAGCCTGCTCCTCCCACAACCGTGGAGGCGCTGTCATAGGCTGCTGGCTGTGCTCCTGCTGGTCCCCCCTCCCTTCCTCCCTCTCTCCCTTCTGTTTTCTTGCATTCTTGCATTTGAACACATCCATGTGGCCAGCACATGCTCCCTGACCCGCTGCAGCAGGCCAGGCCTGGGCTGGTGGGAGCTGAGGACTGAGGAGACACGCTTCATGCCCCAGGCCCTCTTCCCTTGCCCAGTGAACCAGCCCCTCTCACCTCTCAGGGAGAGCCAGATTCCACTGATGCCTGCATAGCTGCGTCACCAGGCCCTCTCTTCTTCAGGTCCAGGCTCCATAGCTCCTGACTCTCAGCTCTGTGACCGTGCTGACCTCCAGCCCGCACCCCAACACAGTGCCCACTCCAGAACTTGGAACCTTGGCCTTCTCCTGGGTGCGTCCACAGATAGGCTATCCATGTGCCTGTCTGTCTGCCCACAGCCTCTGTTCCCTGAGAACAGACTCGGTGAGCCTGGCACAGGGCCCACCCTTGGTGAGTGGGAACTGCATGGCCGGTCAGTTCCCCAAATTCCCACATACCACCCCCATTTCCACTCCCCAGCCTCTCAAAGTACAAGTCCAGTCCCATCTCTCAGTAACAGGCAGGGTCCACACTCTGCCCAGATCCCCAACACCTGCAGCTCCCACGGCCCTGCTGCCTCCGGCACCACCCTTTCCCGGGGCCCTGTTGTGCAACCGTGCTGGACTGCAGGGCTCCAGCGTCCAGATGGCCATAACCCTGTGCGTTGGTTTCTTTATCTGTACAGTGTGGATAATCCCTGCTCCTGTTTCCCTGGCTGTAGGGAGCCTTCCCTGAGAAGACACGTGCAATTAGACTTGTGGACAGCAAAACACTCCCCACGTTTCATGTGGGAGTGATTGGTATAGAAAAAGCTGATGTGGCAGACCGGGGATCGACCTGGGCCCTCTCAACAAGCTGGCCTGGCCCCTGCTCCTTGAGCTCCCAGCCCTGTGCTGACCTGGGGACAGCTCCTGCAGGGCCATTCCCGCTTCCTTAGGCAGGTCCCCTAACAAAGTAAGGCAGCCTCCCAAGCAGAAACTGCAACTCACACAAGAGAAGAAGCTCCTCACACAGACTGCAGAGTGCAGTGTCACCTGGGAGGGAGCAGCTGCTTTCTGAACCTGCCAGGGAACACTGGGGATGGGAGACAGCACCCCACGCAGTCCTCTTTCCTTGGGCCCGCCCAGGCAGTCTAGCATGGACTGAGATAGGAGGGCTTGTGGTGGTGGCCTGGGCCAGCCCCTTCTGTCTGGAGCCCCAGTTTTCCAGCTGTTAACGGGCTCTATAATCCCGTCTCTGCTACTGATGCTCACGACGGTGATACACTCCTACTCGGGGGCCGCAGCTGGCTACAACTTGGCAGGGAAGGTTTTATGGGGTCAGCTGGGGTGTCTGTGACACACAGTGGTGCTGACTTCAGGGTTGTAGGAGGATGGTTGATAGGAAGGAGCATGCTGGACAGAGCAGCCGATGGTTGTGACAAGAATTTCAGATCCCACCGTCCTCTCCTATCCAGGGAGACAGGAAGAACAGAGAACCACACCCTTCCACAGATGGAAAACCGGAGGCCCAGTGGTGCAGCTGAGCACCTACAGACCAGCAGGGACTCCTGGGCATCTGATGCAGTTGCCAGACCTTGGTGGAGACATGGGTGAGGGTGCAGCTGAGGTCTGGGGTGGGGACAGGCAGAAAGCTTCCTGGAGTGCCCTCCTTGGGAGGGGCTAGGTGAGGCAGGCTCGAGGGCAGAGGAGGGATGGGAAGGCACAGGCCAGCAGCAGGCCTCAAGCAGCCCTTGTGCCCACGTCAGTGCCAAGGCCCTGGAATCTGGCCTGGGCAGAGTCACACTGTGTCTTCTCCATCCCCTTGTTACAGGCTATGGCCCAGGATCAACTAGAGATAGCAGAGGACCGTCAGACCATTCTTCACAGTCCTGGGGACAGGGAGGCGCAGGTGCTGCCCGGGGGCATCCAGCTAGCATGTGACAAGAGGCGGGTCCAAGGCCTCCTGCTTCCTCACGACGCTGCTCACTCAGAGTCCCCAGGATGTCTACCTTGTGCCAGGGCCTGGGCATCAGCGAAGAGGGTGGAAGTGGTCCCTGGGTGCAGAGCGGTGGGCTAGGTGATAGCTGGAAGAACAGAGGTGGAACTGTCCTCTGCTTTGAACCTCCAGGGCCAGCAGAACCTCCAGGATAAAAACCCAACTCCTCGCTGGTCTCACTAGAACCTGTTGCCCTGACCCGTGCCACCGGCACCCCCATCTCTAATCCTCTCTCCTCATGCTCTGGCCACATGGACTTTCTGTCTTTCATCCCACCATGGGGCCGTTGCCCATGTTATCCCCTCTCTCTGGGGTCCCCAGTTCTCTGGGTCATTGTCTACTCAACCTTCTGGTGCTATGTGGAATGTCACATCCTGCAGGAATGCCCAGACCAGACCAGGTCCCCACAGAGCTCTTCGTAGCACGTGTCCCAGTTGTCACTTTACGTTTGTTTGCATGATGATTCGTTCTAGACTCTAAGGTCTCTGCCAGCTATTCCCCATGCCTGGCACAGTGTGTAGCATGAAGTGGGCCCATGGGCATGTTCATGGGAAGAATAAAGAATGGCGGCTCTCAGTTCAGATCCTACAACCCCTCCCCGAGCCTCTGTTTTTTCTTCTCTGAAATGGGAATGATAACACCAAGACGAGTGTGAGGGTGAGCAAATGAATGAAAATTTCCCGGCTGCACTCTCGGCAGAGGAGGAGGGAGGTCAGGGTGGGGAGAGGTGGTTGAGGCAGGCCGCTTAGGGATAGAAGGACTTGAGAGTCGTATAGAAACCAATAGGTGGTGGGGACAGGTCGGGAGAGACGTGGTGAGGAGACTGGATGTGTTCAGAGGCAGCTCAGCTGGGCGGGGCATTTCTCTGAACCCTTGGTGACCTACTTTTCAGCCTGGATTAGGAAACCGGGGGATTTAGAGGAAGTGGGTGGGAAACACCCACTGCCTCCTCGGATTCCACGTGGGCCACTCCCTCAATCCCTGCTGGACTCCCCACTCCCTCAGCCCTGGCGTGATGATTAGATCTGGGACACAGCCAGCGTTCTCCATGACTGGCTTGTGGAGATGGTTGGAAACAGCAGAGTGGCCCTGGAGAGGCACTGTGGGGTCACTGACCCAGCCTCTGTGGTGGGAAGCAGCCTGTCATCAGCCCCTAGTCGAGGAGCTCCCTCCTGGAGCTGCCCAGCTGGTCTGGTCCTTGGTCCCTGTCCCCGGCCCCCACCTGCTACTGCTCTGGCCGTGAAGTGGGCCCAGTCATTATTCCTGCCATGCCTCTCTGTAAAGCCTGCTGAAAGAGGTGGCGACAGCCACTGGCCGCCAGCACAAGGGCAGGACACAAGGGGATCCCAGAGAGGCCTCCGTACCTGACTGCCTACGTGCAGAACTCCTGGGTAGAGGGACTAGGCCTGGGCTTGCAGGGGAGAATAAATGACATAGACTTAGGTTCATCCCTCCCATGGCACATACCAGCTTGCTCCCATTCTTAGGGAGGGAGTTAAGGCTCAGAGAAGGTAGGCCACCTATTTGAGTTTGCACTGCATAGCTGGGCAGAAGTTCCCAAGCATGGACAAAAAGGCTATGTGGCTCCCAAGACAGCAGAAGTCAGCGGAAGAGCTGGATGGTGGGACGTGGCTGGCGATGCAGACTAGGATCGCTGCTCTGCACGGATGTCAGAGACTCTGGGGAAAGGCTGTTTGTCTCCGTATGGCTTCCCTAGGGCTTACCTGGAAGCGCTGGGAAGACTCCTCAGGAGGCGTGCTGAGCCAGAGCAGGCAACAGCCATGAGGTCATCTCCCTTGAGGCCCCCGGGAAGCCTAGTAGGGAGGCAGAAGGAAAATGGCCAGGGAAGGAGGGAGAGGGGAGGCAATAGGGACTTTGGGATGGGCCACAAAGCCAAGCTCAGGCACAGGGAAGACGAGGTCATTGCTGAGTGCCCGCTGTGCTGGGCCATTCCGGAGCAGTGTCCCTCATGGACTCTCCACCAATCACCTTACTGGCAACATACATTTATTCCCATTGTACAGAACAGGACACTGAGGCTGGAACTGACACTGGATCTGCCTGGTACGAAAGTGTGGGGTCTTCACAGGACGCCTTCATGATGGGTGGGGACAGGAGCTTGGCCCTTCCTGGACTCACATCACAGCCACAGAGAGCCTGGGCTTCTCCTACTCCCAGCTCCCGTCAGCAGGGGGAGGCTGTGCTGCGTCTAGTTGTGGATACAGTACTAGAGGTTGGATCTGGGCTTAGACCAGAGGAACAGAAGAGGAGGCCGCCTCTGGCAAAACCTGCCGCACTTGGGAAGCCCTTAGCCATATTCCTGTGGTGGCTGAAAGGCGAGGGTGGGGGCTGCTGCCTGGATTTGCCAAGCGGCCGCTCTGCTGCCCCAGAACAAAGTGGAAACTCTTCAAATCAAGGATTTAGAGCTTCTCTTCCCTCCAGAACACCCATCACTCCCTGTTTCCCACTTCCAGGTCTCTGCACATGCTCTTCTCCTGGCATGGGGGTGCCCTCTCTGTTCCTTTCTGCCTGGCCAGTTCTTACTCATCCTTCACGACCTGGCTTCAATGTCACCTCCTCCAGGACCTCCTCCACCCCCCCAGCTCTATCATACCTCCCTTATTTTCTGAAGGTAGGAATGTGTCTAAGTCATCTACGTGTCTCCAGAACCTGGCACGGGATGGGACACATGACAGCAACTTCCTGGACAATGGGCAAAATGCATCCCCCGGCAGGGCTGGGGAGCAAGGGACAGTCTGGTGTGGGAGTAAGGGCGGGGAGGGGTCCATGAAGACCAAATGGTCATGTGCCAGACTTGCCCAGGATCAGGCTGACCAGGAGCCTAGGGGTGCGCTTTACTTCCCAGGGATGTCATGAGGGTCCAGGGAGATCTTAGATGTGAGGGAGCTCTGCAAAAGGTAGGTCCCTATATCAACTCAACTTTGCCTTGATCCCTGATGGGGCAGGAGAAGGAAGATCGTGGATGGAGGGAGGGGCAGACCAGGCCTGGTGAGTGTCTGGGTGGCAAGGAGTGCAGTCTCAGCAGTGGCCTCAGCTCTCACAAGCAAGGAGGAGGTGGGACTCCAGGGGCTTAGGGTCTACCTTGGGACTCCCCCTTCTATGGGATTTAACACAGTGTCAGAGATGGACATGGGCTCAAAGATGACGGAAGCCATGTCCTTCCAAAGGGGGTAAACTGAGGTGCAGAAAGGGGTCGCATTTGTCCAAGGTCACACAGGAGAAGCGGGAGGCCACCCCGTGAGCCCTGTCCTCCCTGCATGACAGGTGTCTTCACCTGCAGTTCAGACTCGGACCGCAGCTTCCCGGACCCCCTCCCGGGCCCCGCAGTCCAGGGCGCCCAGACTACACCGACAGCCGCACACCGCCTGTCGGCTCCGAGGCTGGCTGCTGAACGCCCCCTGCATGGCGTGGTCCGGGCAGCTACCGACCGTCCTTCTCCTTGACTCACCTCCAGCCCCGAGGGCCGGGCTCCACGGCGGCGGACAGGGCGTCGCCTGTACGGCCCCGGCTGCGCCACCGACCCGGAATGTTCCTGCGCGGCGAGGCCCCCTCCCCGGCGCCCCCGGGTGGGGCCGGTCTAGGCGGGTGCGCTATCCCTTTAAGCCCGGGCGAGATGAGCGCTGTCAGCGGCAGCCTAGGCTAGCGCGGGACGTCGCCACCCTAGCGCCAGGCCGGAGCTAGCAGCCGCGGAGCCGCGGAGAGCGGAGGGGACGGCCGGGCCGGGCGCGGCGGGTCCCCTCGCCGCCCACTGCGCGCCCGAACCCAGGGCCCCGCGAGCGGCGGGCGGCACCCGCTGTAATGCGGAGAATGTGAGAGGCAGCGCAGGGCGGTGGGGAGGAGGGGGCGCGGGAGAGGGCGGCGGCGAGACAGACGGAGAGCAGCGGGGAGACCGAGGACCGGGCTGGGCAGGTGGGAGAAGGCAGGGAGGCGCCGGAGAGGTCGGGCTCGAAGGGGGAAGAAGGGCGGCAGCGCAGAGGAAGGGGCCCGCGCTTCGGGCGGGAGTACTGGAAGCCCGAGTCGGCACCAGGGTCGGGGTTCGGGCTGGGAGTGCGGCCGCGGCCCGGCCAGGCAGGATGCGGGAGCGGCGCCGCCCGCGGGGTCCCCACGGAGAGCAGCGGGACACCTAAGGGCGGCGGGTCGAAGAGGAGTGCAGGGCCGCGTTCCGAGGGCTCAGGCCGGCCCGGCAGGGGGGCCTTTGTGAGCGCCCCAGGAGGGCTAGCCGGGAGTGCGGAGCCGGTGTGCGGCGGCCGGGGTGTGCGCGCCCGGTTGTGCGCGTGTGTGTGCGAGTGTGAGCGCGGGGCGGTGTGGCGGTGGGGCGCGCGGTAGGGATTCTGCCGGCATCGCGGCGTGGCTAACAGAAGGCAGGAGCGGGGCGCGCGGGGGAGCCGGGACCGTCCCGCGCACATGCACACGCACAGGCCGCGCGCCCTCGCGCACACACACGCCCTCCCTGCCGCGCTCGCCGCCGCGGCCACCATCGCGGAGCCGAGCCCTGCAGAGCGGGAACCGGAGCCGGAGCGGGGACCGGAGGCAGCCGAGCCGGGGGATGCCGGCCCGGAGCAGAGCCGCGCGCAGTCGGCGCGCCCGGGACGGTGAGTGTGGCCGGGCCGGGCCGCTGCGGCGGGGCCGGGGCCGGGGCCGCAGAGGCGCAGGCCGAGGAGCCGGGGTGTCTGCCCGCCGGCGGCGCCGCGTGCGCGGCCTCTGATTGGGCGGGAGCCGGGGGCAGCGGCGGGGGTGGGGTGCTGGGTGCGCGTCCGTGGGGGGCGTGCACGCGCGGGGCTGGGAGGGGGCGCGCTCGGCACCCCAGGCCTTGACCGTGCTCCCGCCCGCCGCGCAGCCCCGCCTCACCCTCACCTGCCGCTGCAGCCCTGGCGACTTGCACCAACTTTGTGGAGCTCCTGGGACGCGGCAGGCTGAGATGGGTGGGGACGGAGGCGCTTTCAGGGTGCAACTCCGGCTTTTCTTTCCAGAGAAGAGAACGCAAGGGGAGTGGGGTGGGGGCGCGGGCTGGGCCGCGCCGCCTGGCGGGCGGAGGGGTGCGCCTCCGCCTCCCCAGTCGCGCAGCCGCCAGGTCTCTGGGACACCCACCCAGACCCGCGGCGCCGCGCTGGAGCCGCTCCAGGCGCCGGACTCTTGTGACCCCGCCAGGGTCAGGCGGGACCGCGCGGCGACAACTCCCAGGCCCGGGGCTCCGTAGGTTGTCTTTGCTGGCGGGCCGAAGACACCGAGGTTGAGTTGGGGGAGTGCGGAGACGTGCCCGTGCGTGTCCCCGCGCCTTCTGCTCCTCCAGACGGTGGCTGGAACAAGAGAACTCCCCGCAAGGCGCACCCCACCAGACCTAGAGGCCGGGGATGGGAAGGGGCGTCTCCTGGCCTGGTGCCCCATCCCTGCATAGAGCCGTGCCCCGCGTGCCTCTCTCTGCATTGAGGTTGTGGTTGTGCTTTGTACCCCCTCCCCGTGTGAGTCTCCTCCCACACTCTGGACCTGGCTGGCTGCCTGAGGGAACCTCCCCACACCCCTAACTGCCAACCCAGCCAGTCCTGTGGAAGATGGGATGGGAAGCTGTGGTCCAAGATGGTGCCCCTGAGAGGGAGAGAACCCAGTGTCTCAGGGAGTGGGAGGCCCAAGGAAGGGTCAGGGTCAGGACTTCTGCAGGCTCCTCATCCTCCTTGCTTCCCAGGCAAGTTCTTCCTCCTCTAGGAAGCCTTCTCTGGTCGCTCCTGAGTCCTTCCAGCATGGACTTCCCTGGGGTTGTAACTGCCGGGATCCCAAGCAACCCCCATCCATATGCTTTGTTTCCTGCCACTCGCGCTGTGAACCTGTGCAGTTAGAAGTCTTGATCTCAGCTGGGACGCTGCGTGGAGGGGTGTGGTGGCTGGAACAGTCAGTATCTACCTGGATGTCTGGAGTATGGTAATGTCAATGGTAATATCAGCTTTCAGGCTTTATCCTCACTTGCGCATCCATTATCCCTCTGCAATCTCTCAGCCACGTTGTGAGAATGCAGGACCTGTGCGCAAGTTTCTTATCCATTTCACAGAGGAGGATTTTGTGGCAGAGATGGAGGTCGTCTTCTAAGTCTCAGGACAGCCCTTTTCTACTTCGAGGGCATCCACTGACCCTGGTCTTTGGTGAGGCATGGAGGGCACCCAGGCCTTCTTTATTGACCTGGCAGGTGGGCTCCTGCTGCGAGTGACATGGCCGGCGGCCGTTCTCAGCTCAAAGCAGCCAAGCAAAGGCTCCTGACCTGTGGGACCTTTTGACCCTAGCCTGTTAAATATGTGCTTCCTGGATTTGGGGCCAGAGGCTGTCTGTGCTTTGCATGATGGTTTTGAAGTCTGGCTCCTGTCATCCTCTGCGCCGCTCAGAGTTCACTACCATCCTGGGGATCCGAATCAGCCCCGCCCAGCCTGGCACTCTACGTTGGGTCCTGGCATTGTCCTGTTTGGGCCCCAGAAGCCTTCTTACTCTCTCCATCCTAGAGCCCCTTCGTGGGCCAAAGCGTTCCCCATGGAGATGTAAACGTGCACTGGCGGGGACTGGAGGGGACCCTGGTGGCTGTTGGCCCACTCAGCCCCAGGCAGGCTTTTCTGACTCGCCTTAGTCCTGCTGGCAGCCTGGACTCATCCCCAGGTCCTTCGAGGTAAGAGCTCTTGCCCAGGAGTCGCCACTGGGGATGGGGCACCGTGCCCTGCGTGCCCGGCCTCTGATTGGGCGGGAGCCTCGGGGAGGGGGGCACTGGTGGGGGTGGGGTGCTGGGTGCGTGTGAGTGGGGGGCGTGCACTCGAGGTGGGGCCTGCTGTGTCCTGGCGGTGGCCTCCTCGGCCTCGGCTGGCTGTCCCCTCCTGGGCAGCCTCCCTGTGCTTCTCCGCACGCCTCCCGTGCTGGCACTGGCTGATATGGCTTGCTTAAGCCATTGTTTTTTTCTTCTCTCTCTCTCAGCTCCTCTTCCTCTTCCCCCGTGGCTTCCTAAGCTCCAGACTCTTTTTGCCTCCTGGGTGTTAACTAAAGCTCTGGTTGACAGCCAGGTGGCTGGAGCAGGGCAAGATGCCTGGCCCGGCCCCGCCCCTATCATCCCTGCCTCTAGCTCTTCTGCTCCCTCCACCCCCACCCCAACCAACTCCAGCAAGATGAACCCTTCATTTGGGGTCTTAAGCCATGGTGAGGGGGAGATTGGGGCACTTCTTTGACTCCTGGCCTGTTCTGTCAGGGGTGAAAATTCCAGCCAGGGGCTCCCAGCCCCTACTGACTGCCCCCTTTAGGAAAACAGCCACTTCCTGCCGCCCCCAACCTCCTGACTGAGAGGGGGCAGTGCCCAGTGTGACCCTCTTAATTTCCCTCCCCAGCCAAGACCTGACCCTGCCGTATTTGTGTTTTAAATTGTAAAAATATTCTAACCAATCCAGTGATAAGAAATTACTGAGTGGGCTGGGCCTTGGGGTGACTGGAGAGGGAAAAGCTGCCCCTGACCACTCAGGTATGTATTTATGGGGACTGAGGGCCACCCTGACCAGTCTCAGAGTTCCTTCCATGGGCTTCTGGGGCCCAGACCCTTGTTCCCAAGAACCACACCCTGGCTCTTACTCTCCACAGCCTGGAATCCTACGCTTGGCCTAGCTTCATATTTGGAGGTATCTTCTGGCTTGAGACCTGAACTGAGTGCTGGGGATACCAGTGATGAACCCGGGCCCCTCCCCAGATGGGCTCTGAAAGGGGAAACAGATTTGGACCCATGCCTCTGGGTGTGAGCGGGCTGGGTGACCGAGAGGCTCAGTGGGGGAGTGGTGAGGGGCTGTTTCAGAAGGAGGGGGCTGGTGGATTTTGACCTACTGAGATTTTCCAGCACTTGGTCGAGGCTCGGCAAATATTTGTTGACTAAGTGAGCGAATAGAGAATGTGAACGTGAGTGGGGGCTTTCTAGAAAGATGGCATGGCGCTGGCAAATGCATGGAGGTGGGAAGCGCTGGGTCAGGGTAGAACGTGTTTGCAGCGGAGTAGTTCACTTGGCGGCATGGAAAAGGTTGGCACCGGACAGAAGAAGATCCTCAGTGCCCATCTGAGGAGCGCGGGCTGATTGAGAATTCAGGGCTTGCAGGGTTGACGTTCTGGAGGGACACAGATTTGTGACATACAGTGCTCCTCTGGGGGTCGTGGGAGGGGTTGTCCAGGGACTGGGAAGACCTGCGGGGGTGATCTGCGTCGTCAGAGTTGGCTGAGGGCTCAGGATACATCAGTCCCACCCCCTGGGTATACAGAGGTGGCAAGCGTCCGGAGGTCACAGATGCAGCCTCTAGTACTGGCCCTGCCACTGTGTGCATTTCAGTAAGCCCCTGAGGCCTTGGGTCTGCCTCAGTTTCTGAGTCTGTAAAGTGGACACGTTTATGTGTCTCCATGGATAACTGGAGTGAGTTTGAGCGGGAGTTTGTAACCCGGGAAGAGGGCTACGAAGGGAAGGGTAGGCGGCTGTTCAGCGTGCTATTTCATAGAGGAAGAGCTTGAGGCCTACAGCGGGGCGGTGACTAGCACAAAGTCACTAAGCAAGTTGGGAGCGGGCACTGCAGCCTCTGTTTCTGTGGCTGTGCCTGTGGCTTGCTGGGCAGCGGTGGGTGGTGCAGCCGGGGCCTGGGGCCCCACAGAGGACGTCCTTAGGCAGTTGCTTCAGCACTCCAGCTGTCTGAGAGCATATGGGGCCATATGGCCACATCAGGGGAGGTGCCAGCCGCTGGAGGACGGATAGCAGCTGCCACGATGGCCTTCTGGATCCGTGTGGGCACTGCCAGCCACCAGGGTCAGGGCGGGAGGGGGCCAGAATGGAATTTTGGTGTCCAGGTTGGTTTGGACATGGAGGCTGGGCCTTGGCAGATGGCCCAGTTCCAGCACCCATCTGCCAGGGCAGCTGGATAGGCGGCTCCATGCCCAGGACTGATCCAATTAGCTCAAGGCCAGCTGTGCCAGCCATCCTCCTCACATGCCCCACCCAGTTCTGATGGCTCTGCCACGGGGTAGCACAGTGCCACTGACGTCAGGGTCACTGGCCTTTGTGGAGTGCGTGTGTACGTGACATGTCCCCACACCCTGAATGCTGATTCTGAGGCTCTGAGACTTTGGACATCAGCCTGGCGGATCTAAAGGGCCTGGGCTTGGGTGCCAGATGGAAGTGTGTTTGATGGCTCAGCTGCTTCAAGCTGGGTGAGCTTGGACAAGTCAGTTTACTTTACTGAGCCTCACTTTCCTCATGGGTGTCATGGGGGGATGATACCTACCTTAGCCCACTTGGAAAGAATGCATGTAAAGCAGGCACTAGCCTGAGGCATTGGAGGGTCCCAGTAAATGTTGGCTCGTGTTTTGCCCTCTGCAGGAAAGGGAGGTGGGTTGGGTTGGAGTTTCAATGTCCAGATAGAAGTAAAGAGGAGCCTTGTTGTTCTTATTTTCCAAGGCAAAATTTGCTTTATAATTTTGTGTTTTTATAGTCCTTTTATTTAGTCCTCACGTTAGTTCTATTAAAGTAGGCAGACAGCATTGTTC